CCCCAAAACCCCAAAACCCCAAAACCCCAAAACCCCTCGTGTATATAATATATTGTCAATTAAAATATTTAGAATTCAAACCAGTCATCTTTCTTATCAGTTTTGGTATCTGCTTTCTGTGGTTGTGGGGCACCGAATGGATCGCTGTTACTGGCTTGAGAAACTGGTGCTGGCTTAGCTGCAGGTTGTTCATTTCCAAAAGCATCTCCTCCGAAGCCTTGGAAGCTTCCAAATCCATCAGCATTAGATCCGAACATCGTTGGGAATTCTCCAAAATCATTTGTCGGAGCTGAATTTGCAGTATTCAGAGGAGCCTTAGGCTGTCCAAAGTCATTTACTTGTTGCTGTGGCATGTTCTGAGCCATAGCAGCTTGAGCCATACTTGCTTGTGCTCTTGCAGCAGCTGTGTCCTTCTCTACAGACCCAAAGGCGCTCTCAAGAGCATTGAGCTTATCCTCTTTAGTTTCTGGAACACTAGTCGGAGGTGGTGCAAATGTATTTACTGGAGTTGAATTTCCAAAAGCTCCTGTATCAAAATTGCTGTTGAAGTTTGACTGCCCAAACCCGCTTGCTTCTTTTGGCTTATCTTTCTTCTCAACTGAAGGCTTGTTCTTTGTGAGATTGCTCAAATTAAACAACTTGTCTTCTGTGAATTTCTCTTCTACCTTCTCCTTTTTGAATAGTGGAGGCTGATCATGAGCTGGCTGAGTTTGAGGAGGTTGATTTTGAGCAGGAATATCAAAAAGTCCCGCATCAGGAGCAGGTGGAGCTTGTGAGAATGGATCTGAGTCAAATTTCACATCTGCTAATGCATCTACTGGATCACTGCTTACTGGAGCTGAGGTCTCTTCCATATTAAATGGATCAAATTTCTCTGTTTTTGAAATTTCTTGTTTCTCATCTCCAAAGAAATCATCTGATGTTTTCTTAGGCTGGCTTGGAGCATTGAAATCAAAATCAAAATCATTATTGCTAGAACTAGTTTTCTTTGCCGGCTGATCATTGCCCCAATTGAATGGATCATCATCCTGAGGCTTTGATTTCTTTTTACTTGGAGGATCATTAAATGCGTCTTCAAAATCATCTCCTGGCTTACTCTTCTTCTCAACAGTCTGCCCAAACCCATCGAAGTCAAATGCTTTAGGCTGATTCTTTGTATCAAAATCTTTCTTCTTACCAGAACCTGAGAAGTAATCATCCTTCTTCTTGGCTGCTCCTCCTACTGTAGTCTTCCCTCTTGGTTTAGTACCTGATTTACCCCCGACAAAATCATCTTCTGGATATGGATCATACTTCTTCTGTTTACTATATGGATCTGGTATTTTTCTACTGCCCGATTCGGCTTTCTTTACGTCATTCCAGCCGTCGTAGCCAGTGTCTTCGTCCTCATCATCGCTTTGAGATTTATTTAGAACCATGCTTTCCCTTATCTTCCCAAGGATGACCATCATTTTTGCTAGGATATTTGCTTGGTGGGGAGGAATCATAGTCATTGTACTTCTTTGTCTTTGCTGAGTAAGTAGGAGGCCCTGTATCTCCATAAGCGCCCATATCATAGTCCTCCTTACCTTGATCCCCTCCGTATTGCTGTGACTTAGTGAGATTATATAAGTGTGAAAAGCTCATTCCATCAACTCTTAGCTCATACCGGTCCCCATGCATTGCGATATTAAAGGAATGCTTGCCAATAGTGAATGGATATTGAAATGGCACCCCAAAAAGTTGTCTTTCAAATACTACCATCCCATTTTTCAAAATTTTATTTCTTTCCAGATAGCACTGAGTCTAGGAACTCGAGATGATGGGTTTCCCCATCCACTTGGACCTTCCAGATATACTGCTTCTTGGATTTCTTCATCCAACTACCAATATTGTTCTCCTTATAGTAGAGAGCCTTGATTCCGTCCTCGCTCATATTTAGAAAATTTTATCGAAAATAGATTAATTTGGGGTTTTGGGGTTTTGGGGTTTTGGGGTTTTGGGG